ACAACATGGAGCCACAGCAGACCTGCAAAGAGAGGTACACACACTATATGTACATACAGACTTATGGCGTGAAAACCAACTGAAACCACGATTCAGATTGGCTTATCATGGATACTACCCTTTTTTGCCAAATTCATTTATTACCTACTACTCTGTGTGTCACGTCAGGATGGGTGGAGTTCACTGATGTCTGCATCTCAGAATGGACATGTGGAGGTGGTGGACAAGTTATTACAACATGGAGCCACAGTAGACCTGCAAAATAAGGTATCAATTGCTGTAAAATTACCAAGTACCGTAACCCTCGCTGTGCATGCGTGCCGAGGGTTAAGGAGTAAATGTAAGTGACCACATGAGAAAGGTTAATCGTGTCTACTCAATGCAAAAGTACGATTTCAGCGTCAGGTTTAGCATGGCATGATATGTAATCATAATACTCTCTATAAAACCACCTAGATGATAAAACTATGATTCAGATTGGCTTATCATAGATACTGAATCAAAACCGTTTTTTTGCCAAATCATTACCACTCTTTGTCAGAATGGGGGGAGTTCACTGATGCTGCATCTCGGAATGGACATGTGGAGGTGGTGGACAAGTTATTACAACATGGAGCCACAGTAGACCTGCAAGAAGAGGTACACACACTATATGTACATACGCAATGCTAGCAAACACGTGTGCAAAACGTAATCTCAGAACAGTGAGGTGAAGGGAACATGCATACTTCATACTATGAGCTCTCTGAAAAAGTCTGTCGTCTAGGTCAGGTGCGCGATCAGCAACACAGCAGATTGCATTCCGTTTTATCAGTTACATATACATGTAGCATCCATCATTTTCAAAATGGCTTCATTGCTTGAGAAGCCAGCCCCAATGTCTTTCTTTTTACCCGAAAATGCCCATGGTATATAGCTCCGCTCACCACAGCTTTACATTACTTATTGGTGACGATTAGGATCATTATCTATGGTTTGTCCGTCTGTTACCACGTTTTCTGCCACCACGCGCAACGGACAACAAAAGAGCGATACCAAAAGGTTCAGCGCTACACTGGCTTGATTTTAAATTTGGCGAATTTCGTAAAAGTACTGCGTTCCAGACTTATGGCGTGAAAACCAACTGAAACTACGATTCAGATTGGCTTATCATGGATACTGAATCAAAACCGTTTTTTGCCAAATTCATTACCTACTACTCTGTGTGTCACGTCAGAATGGGTGGAGTTCACTGATGGCTGCATCTCAGAATGGACATGTGGAGGTGGTGGACAAGTTATTACAACATGGAGCCACAGTAGATCTTCAAGATAAGGTATATCAATTGCAAAACACTATTTAAAATAATGAGTAAATGTAAGTGACCACATGAGAAAGGTTAATCATGTCTACTCAATGCAAAAGTACGATTTCAGCGTCAGGTTTAGCATGGCATGATATGTAATCATGTTAGTATAATACTCTCTATAAAACCACCTAGATGATAAAACTACGATTCAGATTGGCTTATCATGGATACTGAATCAAAACCGTTTTTTTGCCAAATTCATTACCTACTACTCTGTGTGTCACGTCAGAATGGGTGGAGTTCACTGATGGCTGCATCTCAGAATGGACATGTGGAGGTGGTGGACAAGTTATTACAACATGGAGCCACAGTAGACCTGCAAAAGAGGTACACACACTATATGTACATACGCAATGCTAGCAAACACGTGTGCAAAACGTAATCTCAGAACAGTGAGGTGAAGGGAACATGCATACTTACTATGAGCTCTCTGAAAAAGTCTGTCGTCTAGGTCAGGTGCACGATCAGCAGCACAGCAGATTTCATCAGTCACATATACATGTAGAATCCATCATTTTCAAAATAGCATGTGGCTTCATTGCTTGAATTGAATGTCTGTATGTCGTTACCTACTACCCTGTGCCTCTTGTCAGGATGGAGATAGTTCACTGATGGCTGCATCTCAGGAGGGACATGTGGAGGTGGTGGACCAGTTATTACAACATGGAGCCACAGTAGATCTTCAACGTTCGGTAATAACCACACACACAGTTTTGTTGAACATTTCAGATGACAGATTTCCTGTTCTGAATTTAAGCGTCACATTGGGGAGTAGTTTCGTGAACAGACCTTTATTTTCTTTCGTGATACGCATGTGCACACGCCTCCCTCGCAAGAAACGGAATGGGAATAAGGCTGTCTGGGGTTAGGCAGAGGGCGTGGAAAATATGTTTTTTCGTCTCCTCCCCTCACAAAAAATACGGCTGGTGCACAAGACTAATTGGGGAGTAAGTAATACTATGTACTATAGAGGATATTTACAACCCTATGTATGGTAATAAAAGGACAAAGCTTAAATCATGGATTTCAAGGTTTTATCAATTGCAAAACACTATTGTAGAAAATGAGTAAATGTTAGTGACCACATGAGAAAGGTTAATCATGTCTACTCAATGCAAAAGTACGATTTCAGCGTCAGGTTTAGCATGGCATGTAATCATGTTAGTATAATACTCTCTATAAAACCACCTAGATGATAAAACTGATTTAGATTGGCTTATCATGGATACTGAATCAAAACTGTTTTTTTGCCAAATTCATTTCCTACTACTCTGTCTGTCACGTCAGGATGGGTGGAGTTCACTGATGGCTGCATCTGATAATGGACATGTGGGGGTGGTGGACAAGTTAATACAACATGGAGCCACAGTAGACCTACATGATAAGGTAAGAAGTCCACAATGCTGCTCGTGAATGGGAGGAAGAGCTTTTTCTGTGCTTACTATCGAACCTTTTGTATTTAATACACATACAGTACTGGATCATTCCTTAAAAGTAAGTAAAAGTAAAAGTACTGTGTTCCAGACTTAGATTAGACAGTAGATCTTCACGATAAGGTATGCAAAACATTTATTGTTTATGGATAATAATGTAACACTACCGTAATGACTGAGTGAATGTAAGTGAGCGCATGAGAAAAGTATATGTGCTGATATCTATACTGACTCATCAGAACTGTTTAGTGCCTAATTGAATGTACGTATGTCTTTACCTACCACCCTGTGCCTCTTGTCAGGATGGAGTGAGTTCACTGATGGTTGCATCTGAGTATGGACCTGTGGAGGTGGTGGACCAGTTATTACAACATGGAGCCACAGTAGATCTTCAACGTTCGGTAATAACCACACACACAGTTTTGTTGAACATTTCAGATGACAGATTTGCTGTTCTGAATTTAAGCGTCACATTGGGGAGTAGTTTCGTGAACAAGACCTTTATTTTCTTTCGTGATACACATGCGCACACGCCTCCCTCACAAGAAACGGAATGGGAATAAGGCTGTCTGGGGTTAGGCAGAGGGCGTGGAAAATATGTTTTTTCTTCTCCTCCCCTCACAAAAAATACAGCTGGTTCACAAGACTAATTGGGGAGTAAGTAATACTATGTATAGAGGATATTTATAACTCTATTTGTGGTAATAAAAGGAGATAGCTTTAATCATGGATCTCAAGTCTCCCTGTAAACAGACAATATTATGTTCAAAATCTCGGTGTATGATAATAGAATGAGATAGCCTAGTAATGTCAGTTTGCCTCTCAAGCTAATCCTAACCTCCAGCAATCAGTTGAGTATCACAGCAAGTTAAAGAAGACAATTGCACCCATTGTGATAGCTTGTGCAGTGCTGTGCTTGACGTATCACATGTTATCATACTTGATGGGTTCAATTGTACATCTGTCCTCCATAGAATACAGGATACACAGCTCTGATGTTTGCCTGCAAGGGAGGTCATCTGGACACAGTGAAGGTCCTCATGGAACATGGAGCTGACCCACTGATCAGGAGTTTGGTGAGCTACAGTCATAACTTCACTTGCCTGCCTAGTTGCGAATGCGGAATTTTCCTTATGTAATGTCGACCACTGCACATACCGTAATGTTTTATGTGTGATTATAAGTATAGGTTTGATGATGGCAAGTATGCTCTACTAGCGCGCAGAGCGAATAGAGCATACTTGCCATCATCAAACCTACTTCATATATGTTTTTCCTATGAAGTGCCGTTTGTCTCAGAACTACTTTTTTGGAACAAGCCTAAACGTCGCGTGAATTTACGTAAATATCGCGAGAGTTTAGCTAAATCTCGCATGATTCTAGCAATCGTCGCACGAGTTTAGCTAATCTGCGCATGACTTTAGTATCCATCGTTGCATTTAGCTAAAAGGGCATCTACAGCTAAAAACCCATGCATTTAGCTTTGGTCGTCGACGTTAGCTAAATATCGAAGACGAATGATAAAGTAACGCGAATTTAGCTACTAATCGACAACGGATAGCAAAATCTGCAGCGTATAGCCCTAAAGTCATGCGCTGATTAGCTAAAGTCGTGCAGTGTTTAGCTAAAGTCATGCAGTGTTTCATGCAGTGTTTGCCTAAAGTCGTGCGACGATTGCTAAAGTCATGCGCAGATTAGCTAAACTCGTGCGACGATTGCTAGAATCATGCGAGATTTAGCTAAACTCTCGCGATATTTACGTAAATTCACACGACGTTTAGGCTTGGTCCAAGAAAAGTAGTTCTGAGACAAATGGCACTTCATATTTTCCAGCACAATGCCTGCATTCCCTATAAGGAAAGCCAAGTGGGTGTTGATTAGGAAGTAGCTCAGCCCTCTGACTGCTGTACAGCTAAGTGGGTGCTACTACTGGCTATAATGCGCCGTTGCTGGGGTAACATATACCAATTGTATTTCGGAAGGCTAGGTCTCATATCAACTGGTGTATGGCCAGTTTTCCTGCTCAAACAGCTAAATTTAGTAGCAATTACGTAATGACTTCCACATTTCAGGGGGTGTGGCTTCATTAATAAAAATGCGCTCGGGACACTATATACAACGCGGAGGCCCTCGGGTCATTGAAATCCATAGTTCCCTCGAACGGAGTAACTAACTTATATGTAATGAAGACATAAACGTAATGGGACATACCGGATCTAAGCTCGTAGTTCCCGAGTATACCGGAATAACTAGTGCAGAGCGGACAAATCCGCACACGCACAGCGCCCGTTTTCGAAATTGGAATGAGCGTGAAGACGCGATTGGTAACCGACTCGAGCGAGGTTTCAGCCACCAGCGGCAAGCCAGAAACGGTAGGCAGAAGCTATATACAGCACCTGCTTGTCGTCCGCCGGTGCTTAGCGGAAAAGGGCTCCGCCCACTCTACACGCACACCGAATCGACCAATCAGATTTGTTAGTACGAGGTTCCTGATTTCTCATATGAACCTCGTGAGCTAACAAAAGAAACATGATATGAAACCTTGTTTCTTCTGTTGATTTTCAACAAGTTCAACAGCATTTCATGTAGGAAATGTATCCCACAAAACATGATCTGTACAAAATGTTGATCAAAATAACTGATATCTTGATTTTCTTTTTCCACAAGACAGTTTTCTGTGTCTGCTTTGAGCCAATCTCTATCCTTGCCATAGTAGATAGCCAGGCAGCTCACGCCCGCCCACAAACCACCGCACGCAAATAAGGGAGTAACTAGGGGCTGGGACTTGACGCTGGCCGAGGAAGTCAGCTGCTCCTGTGGGGAAAAGGGTGGGGAAGGCACAGGTGAAGTAGCCCTCGGTGGTGAACTAATTGAGTGGCATTCCACCAATGGAGGGCCACATCAGAGGTGTGTGGGAGGAGGAGCTGGATTGACGCTGATCTACTGACTGCTGCACTGCCTCCTGCTCCGTCATTGAGGGGACAGCAATAGGAACGAATGACTGTTGCAGATGGTCATCATCCAATGTATCATTGGTTATATCCCTAGAAGTGCTGTCAACTTGTTGATGTGCTGGTACAACTGTCTGAGGATAAGGTCTCTTGAGTGATTGATACGAGTCAGAAACATTTCCATCTTGTGGAGCTGTTCCAAGCTGTGGTGTCGATGCTATACCCAAGATCAATAGTACTGGTTGTGGATAACCAGCCATTGCTGTGCTCTGTGAACTACACTTCGCCTTACTCAAAAGTAACGATGGGTCTGGTTGGCTCCTTCCCTCCTCACGACAATGACATCAGGGTCAGAAGGCAGTCGTGGGCAAACTCTGGCGAAGGAGCCACATCCTGTGGCAGGTTGACTACATGTTCTGTGTACCCGTACCATCCCTGTGGCAGTCTGTACAGTGACATGATGGGCATCACTGCAGAGATGAGCATCTCTTCCACCTGTGTCAGACCCTGCAAAAATGTGAAGTAAACAGCATCTGATAATAGTGTTTTTCTTTGCTATAGGTGTGACAATCATTACATAGTGTGGTCAATCATAACAATCTTCACTTCAGATAATTCATTGGCAGAGGACCAGGGTCCATGTTGTTCAGTGATGAGTAAGCTTTAGGACTGTGTTTTGTCCTGAACACAACGCAAACACTCTGTACCAGATGGAGTCATCCGGACAGTCAAGCCAGGGAATCTCTCACGGCAGGTGCCATTTCAGAATGGAACTTGCTCATCTTTAATTGGACAATTGGCTGGTGAAGTTGAGGTTGGGTTGAAGTGGCAGTACTTGCATGCTGCATGTGACTTTCTCGGTCACGCTGACGTCTTTCTTCAGTCTGTTGTGGAGTCTCTGAGGCAATCCGTTGTTGTTGGTTAGTGTCGTAACAGCTGTAGGCGGCGCTTCTCTCTCCTCAGCCGGACTCGGCAGCAATTCGTCTGCATGGTAGCTTCGGAGCTGTGCGAGCCTGGCCTGTTCCATTTCTGCAGCGTGTTTTGCTTCTATCTTGTACACGACGTCTGCTAGTCGTGCTTCCCTTTCTTCTTTCTTATCGCTGTTTCGGCGGTGAGGCGTTCCCTTGCCCGTTCCCTATCACGCAGTCGGCGTGAGAAAGCCGAGCCTCTCTCTGCTCAGGAGTCTCACGGAGCACGACGTTCTCTTCCTCTCTCTTCGACGACGAAGGCCATCCTCTTAGACTGAAGATCCATGGTCATTGCCACAGTTGTCAGACTAACACATGTGCATATGTAACGAAGCCGCGCATGCACACTTACACGACGTACGACGAAGACGACACACATGGACGTATATAAATTGCGGTCCCGTTCGGACCACTAGGTTAGCTCGCTCCCGGCTCGCCAAGAAAATGCCCCACAATTCCTTGCACTCGGCCTTTTTCTTAGCTCGGAGCGGTATTTACAACGTTCGAGACGGTGCAATCGATCTGCAATGGAATCGACAACCGAATCTGGTAATGACCCAACGACGCTCCTGAAGACCCTGCTGGAGCGTTTCGACTATCTGGAGCGCGAGGTGAAAACCCTACAGGAAACGAGGCTCGCCGAGTGCGAGCAGCGCTTCATGAGGCGGAGACCTCGACGAGGCGCAACGTGGCAAAGGCACCCACAGAGCCCCGGTCACCCGGAGGGGAACACGACCGAGGCTGCAGAACGACACTGGCTCGAGGCCTGCCACCTGCAAACCGTGCAGGTGCTCCAACGCTCGTAGACGGAGAGCCAACCCCATCATCCACATCGAGCGACGAAGAATCGTCGCAGTCGCGATCGCAGTCTCCTCGGCACAGACAGAAGGGTCGAAGCCGAGGGCACTGGCGACGACGACTCGGAGAATCCGGGGTCGCGCGTCTCCCCGCCGACAACGGAGTTGCAAGGGAAAATGCCCGCTCGCCACTCCCGCCAGGTCCTGGGTGCCGAATCGGCTCGGAGTCGAATGTCGGACTCGGAGTCCGAATGTATGGACTATTCTGCGGAGTTGCATTTAGCGATTCTGAGACTGAGGATAGTCTCCACACCAAACTGACGGAGGTGTCGGAGAGGACAGGAAAATTCCTCCGGGAAAAGTGCACTCGGAGAGTGGCCTAATTCCGAAAGAAGGATTAAGAATTTGCCCAAGTGTGCCAGAAACTAGACCAGCGCAGCTGGACCACAATGCTGAAGTAGGAGACTTCGCGCTGCGCAAGCTGCTGATCAAAGTGGTCAGACGTTGCTGCTAGACTAGACTCCCTGCTCCCTGGCACCTCTCACCCTCACCGCCATTCTAGAGGTACACCACCATCATCCACAAAGGGTTACTTTGGATCACCAGGAGGTGATCCAGGCGGTGAAGTCGGGCCTGCAGTCATTGGCATGCCAATGCAGCACTTACTACACCTCCGAGAGCGAGAAGATGCGTGAGAGACCTGACACAGGCCATTCTCTTCTCCCAATCGCGGAGACGATCAACACTTTAAGGAGCGGTCACAACTTTTTCTCTCTCGGCACGGAGTTTGCAAGAAGAGTACAAGAGAATGGTAGTTAGTATACAGAACACCCCTCTAATCGGACATCCATGGGATAGACAAATGTGTCCACATTATGGAGCAGTGAGGCGATGAGGTCCACCATCAGCAAGAAAGCAGGGGGGGGCTTCAAACCGACTTTCGAAGGGCGGAGCGGCAGACCTCCGACACAGGGGACGGCCAGTGGTCCACATAAGCACCTGGACGGTTATAAAAGTGGGCCCATGGGGTTTTAAAAAAAAAACACCCTTAACTGGTTATTCAGATAGATTTCCTGTGGTAACCCCCCATGCAAGGTCATGCTCCCACACAACCTCCACAATACCGTGGGAACAGAGTCAGTTAATAGTGGAGGATTGCAGAAACTCTAGGCAAAGGAGCGCATAGTAGAGTACACAACCCTCGTGGAGGGTTTCACGCTACTCAAACCTGGTTCCTTGTCCCAAAGAAGGACGGATTTCAAGACCAGTGAGAAACCTGAAAGCTCTGAACAGTTTTCGTTCACAAACGTATCATTCACGATGGAGGGAATCCATACCTTGAGGAACGCGTAGTTCAATCCGGAGGATTGGTTGGCACTGGGACCTGAAGGACGATACTTTGCGATCCTCATCATAATCCCACCACAAGTAACTTGAAGGTTCATGTTCCCAGGGAATACTATCAGTTTTCCGAGTTGCCTCCCATCGGGCCTTTCATCGGCTCCCTTGTCTTTACAAACCACCCAAGACCCTAAGCCACAGCGCTAGCTTCCTCCGGAGATGGGGGTACGCCTGATAGCATACATAACAGATCCCTTGTCCTGCGGAGTCCCAGGAACAAGCAAAGCGACATTCATAGGCAGTAGTGTAACTTTCTTTCTGGCAATGCCTGGTGTTCAACAGAAAAATCTGTGCAGATCCATCCCAAGTAGGAATTCCCTGGGCTTGACAGTAGACCACAGTACAATGGAGTTGAAACTCCCCATGTAAAGATAAAGAAAATCCGTGCGGATTCACTCGGGCTTCGGGGAGAGTCCCTTGCCCGGCTGGTGGGGAAGATGAATGCAACATTGCAAGTAACTCCCACCGCGCCACTCTTTTATAGCCACTTACAGATGGCCCTGGCAGGCCACACTGAATCAACATTTCCAGTGATACCGAGCACAGGTTCCCCTCCCCTGGGGATGAAGTGAGTGTGTACACCCCATGGTAAATTGGAATGGGAATCCTCCTCAAGAAGGAATAGACATGACAATAGATTCGAGGCCTCTCGACAGGTTGGGAGCGCAACATCAGAACCAGAGGACCGGAGGTCCATGGTCCGGCAGAAAGCAGAATGCACCTAAACTGCCTGAACTTCTAGCTACAACACTAAGCGTCAAGGCATTCCTGAAAAACAATCCAGGATGTTCATTACTCCTCAATACCGACGGCAGTGGCATACTCAAACAAACACCCCACCCCCCACCTGGGAGGAACAGTCTCCAGGAATTGGTGGACTTGGCAAAGAAGCCTTTGGATGGTGCCTGGAAAGGAATCTCCCATCATAGCCCAACATCTACCGGGTGTCCTGAAGTAATAGCGGATTGCGGAGTCTCCGGAACTATGATAGATCGGTCATATTCAACAGGATCACACACCTTTTCCGGTCCCAATAGAGATGGATTTGTTCGGAATCTCTTCTGACGGCGCATGCCCCACCTTTTTTCCAGCTGGCGCCAGATCCCTATGCAGTGGTCCAACCAATGCCTTCCTGCCGGACTGGTCTCAAACAAGAGTATCTATAGCCAACCCACCCTTTGCGTCTGATAGGATGGGCGGGTACTGTCCAAAGATGCAATGGACAAGGCTCACATTGTTCTGGTGTCACCAGTCTGGAAGACACAGCCATGGTACCCTACTACTTCTCTACTAGCTGCAAAGGCTACTTGCAATACCACGTCTATCAATCACATCAGATAATGCTGAAACAGAGAAATCCGGAGGAGCTCGTCCCTCAGCTAGCCGCATGGCATATCTCAGGGAGAGATACCGAGACCAAGACTTTCGGAGGAAGCTACCTCACTCATGCTCGGTCCTGGAAGGACTATATAAGACAACAGTCTTACGACTCACTCTTTGGCAAGTGGCATAGCTCGACTCTGCCATCTCATCGGTGCATGAGAGAATAGATGGCTATACAGTAGGGCAACACCCCTCGTTACAGATTGATGAAAGGTGTCTTTAATGATAGACCCCCACTGCTAGTTATACATGTACATGGAATGTACAGACAGTACTGTCATAATATATCATCATGGGGGAGCAATGCCCCCTGTCATTGAAACAGTTGAGTTGGAAACAGCAATGCTGCTGGCATTGACACGCCCTCTAGTCAGCTTGATCTATCTCAGCTAGTTTACATGGGAAGCGGTATAAGCCAGAAGGTGTGGCTTTCACACCGCAAGCAGCCTGGCTAAGCAATCTAGACAAGGGAAGCCAATCAAGTAGCACCTCTTCTTCCCTTCCTTCCCACATGACCCTGGACTATGTCTAACTCTAAAGGCCTATGAGGACCGTACAGCTCCCTATAGGGGAGACGAACTGAGGTTATTTCTCTGGCTCTCATTAACCCATACAAGCGCAGTTACATCTAGCACCCATAGCTAGATGGCTTAAATCTCTGCTGGAAGCAGCAGGAATTGATACCTCTGTGTTTAGTGCCCACTCGGTACGGAGGGGCATCGTCCTCAGCAGCTGCAAACTTGGGGATTACGACTAATGATAATTATACTAAAGGCTGCGGACTGGAGTTCTGAGTCTGTGTTTCAGAGGTTTTATTACAAACCAACAGAAGATCCCTCGTTTGGGAGAGCGGTGCTCTCTACCACTGATATCAGACACGGTGTGGGTCGCATCGAGAAGGGAGAGCGGAGCTCTTGATCCTTGAGTAATGAGTAATGGAAGAGCGAAGCTCTTGAGCTTAGCAAAGAAATCCATGGGGAAGCCTAGTAGGCTTGACAAACAACACCGTTGATATGAGACCGAGCCTTCCGAAATACGATTCGAGAATGGCTCAGACCACGCAGTGGTTGCAAGCTATTCAGAGTTGTATGAGGAAGGTGAGGTTGAAATATCAACGGTCCCGCCCACCCTCCTGTAGGGTGAAAGATGAGGAGTATAAGCTAAGGGTTGGGTTATGTTGCTGGTATATATGCAACGGGTGAGGAGAAAGACCATGCAGTATGAGGAGCTAATCCAAAGGCCAAGGTTGCAAGGAATTGTCGGGCATTTTATAGTTGTTCGTAATGAAGCCACACCCCCGGAAATGTGGAAGTCATTACGTAATTGCTACTAAATTTAGCTCTTTGAGCAGGAAAACTGCCCATACACCGTTGATATTTCAACCTCACCTTCCTCATACAACTCTGAATAGCTTGCAACCACTGTGTGGTCTGAGCCATTCTCGAATTATGCATAAAACACTCGAAAATAAAACTGCTCACTTCACTTGCCAAATACGTCAATATAATTATTATCTGACTATCTGTCACTACTGTAGGCGGGTGTGACAGCATTGGGCGTTGCATCTACTAATGAGTTTCCTGATGTCTGCAATGAACTAAACCAGCCAGATCGCACCACTGATGTGGAGGTAAGACATAGCTTCTCTATCCTACCATACATACCCATGTCTCAAAGTGTTGCCATTATGACAGTGGATGATGCATATTGCATGTGACAATAACAAAGGTGAAGTAGAATGGCAAATTAAGGCTAAGCAAAAACAAGTCAACTACACCCAGGACAATTATTTTTTCCTGAAAAAAGGAAGAGCTGCCGTAGGTGGGACTCTACTCACGACACTCTGCTCTCTAGGCAACCACTCTTACCGACTAAGCTACCAGGGCACCTAAACATCTTTCCCTGGCCTTCTGCATTATGTATATACGTATACGCGACGCATGGCGCACACAGGACAGTCCAACAGTCACTTCATATAAACATACATGCATCGGGGGAGGCCTGTGAATGAGGCTACAAATTAAAGTTTACTTCAGCTTTGGCTTTCACGCTTGTTTGCCAAACATGCATTGGATTCACCCACACATGCATTGGGCTGTAGGAAACACATTATCCATATTTCCTATATACAGTATCCTGAGACTTCCACAGAAAAAGAGGAAGTGGTGGAGGGAAAGAAGGTTCCAAAAGGAGATTACAAACGATACTTGAAGATTCGTGCATTACGAGCAACTCTATGGAGAACTGGGAAAAGGAAAGTTAAAAGGAAGGTCAAAGCAGCAATAGAAACATTGTACTCTAACCTTAACTGATATTACATGTGTCTGTTTATTACCTGAATATCTTGGTTATTAACATAATCAAGCGTAGCTAGTCATCAAAGTACCACAATACGACAGCGGACATACACTAGCGAACGTGTTCTTGCTGACTTGGAAAATTGTGCTGAATTGTTCCAGCAAAAAGCAATACTGGATCAAGGATAGTTAAAACAATGGCAGTGAAGGATGTGTACAGTTGAGAGACACTAAGTACCACTATAAATTAAGGAGTTCTTCGTCTTGGTCACGGGGTCTTCTCTTCCCTCCCTCCCCTCCTCCCCCCTCCCCCTCTTCCTCCCCACTCCCCTCCCCATGTTCACTCCCACTACTACCCTCCTCCAGTAGAGAAGTCTCCTCGGTAAGAGTCATTGGTAACTGCACAGTATAGAGCAGAAACACTGGGTGGCTAGCTACAAACTTAGCTGAGTGAGGTTTTGGCAAGTTAAGATAGTCTTGGGAAAAGATGGCCCCAGTATTAATTTGGGGCAGCTTCAAATCACGAGTTTGAGTTAGGTCTTGATTTTGAGTTTTGTGGTTTTGTGTAGTTGTATCACAGCATAGGAAATGCAAACTTGTGGTTAATGGCCATTTTCTCTGCCAATTTCGTGGGGAGAAAAGGACAAACAATCCACCACAGACTCTTCAGTCTTAATCCCAACTTCTTCTCCAGATCCCAGTTTTTTTTAGAGAGGCACATCTTATGTACACTGCACACTATTGTTACTAACCTTTTCATACTTGACCGGTTCAGAAGACTTGTTCTTGAACAAGTTAATAAATCTATCCCTACAAGGAACACAATCTAATGAGCTACAGACTGTGGGGTCCTCCTTCTTAGCTTACCGTCTCTCTTTCTTGTAGAAGATAAAGCCAAGAAAGATGGCGGCTACCATCAGTACCACTAGTGTGACCAACAGAGCCACAACGGTCGATGATGTACCACCAGAGCCAGACGAACCACTGCCACCACTGTGGTCTCCGCCATTATCTGTACTCTTGTGATGATTGGTGGGAGTGTACGGTGCTGTGGTTGGTGTAGAGCTGCAGAGAAACATTATTGAACCATTCTTTGAATCTACCAGGCATGAGATGGGGAGTGAGGATTAATTACTCTGTGGTAACCTGGTGAAGAAAGTTATCCGTGCCAGCTCTTATATGCATGCACTTAACAGAGAACTTGTAACTCAATATCTTACTTACTAGCACTGGCAAGATGCACATGGCCTACAGTAACACAGTTAGCCAATTCCACATACAATGCTAGCATTTTGGATCCCACCCATTTATGTATGTTTCCCAGTATTTGCCAGAACTCATTAGTATTTTGTGTAAATCCATGCCTACGTAGTAATGCCTAAGATCCAAAGACACAAACGCACACAATCTCACAGGTTGTTGCTAATTGCAGTGTTCTTACAAGGAGCAGCCTTTCTTGGTCCACATGTTGAAGTGATAGAATGTGTGCCTCTCACTGCCAGCGGTCGACGTAGTGACTTTCACAAACTCCATCTGTGGAGACATTCACTCTCAAACCTTGTTTCACTGCTAAGAAACAGTTGCTCACAGTTTCAGCTCTGCTGACGTCAGCACTGTCGTCCACACACTCCACATTGACAATAGCGTGAGAGAAACCGTCAGTTGAGTTCATCTGAATCCACATCGACGTTCCTATACACAGTCATGGTGGGTTAGAGCTAGAGTGTCGCGTTGGCACCTAACTTCAAACTTTGCTTGCCAAACTAAGATTTTACATCGCCTTGGCCTTGCGCATGCACATTTTTAGCTTTATCTTTCCCTGTGATGTTTAGTTTACAAAAAGTGTATATACATTAAGATTCGGATTTAAGAATAAGTGTTGAGTCCTGAAGCAACTCGACAACCCTTCAGTCAGCAGACAAAAGGTGTGGCTCCAATGTCAGGGAATGCACACTATTGTGGGCATGTTTGAAATCTGTTGATCAGCATTTTCCATTATTCTTAGCCATGATCATAACCTGTTCTTCTTATGGCATACTCTATGCATTGAGTAAACAACATATTTGGTGACTCAAAACTTAGTCATAAATGAAGTAACAAGGAGATTATTCGAAGCGTGTGATTGGTTGAGAGAAACAAGTCGAAGCTGTGATTGGTTTAGAGAGAGACAGTTCGATGTGTCTAACCTTGAGTCATGATGGTCTGGAGAGAGGAGGTGGCGACATTGGTGGTGAGTCCGGAGCTGTTGGTGTAGCAGACGGAGGAGCCGTGAGTACAGTGGGAGTTGCCGCCACACAGACTGACGTGGAACGTCCTCTGAGCTGAGTCTCCCTCCACTACCGACATCCTGGGGACACAGACACACACACAGATAACAACAGATCACCATTCATTGAGGATCCACCATCCCAACACTCTGTATCAACATATAATGTACATTACACACCCGTCATTACACATAATCGGCAACATTTCTCGGATGGTCCATACCATCCCAACACTCTAGTATCCATTAATACAACCCTGCTTGCCCAATCCTGTAATGGTAACCCTTCATTAATTACACATCATAATCGGCAACATTTCTCGGATGGTCCATTACTCTATTGTCCAGATCCACCATCTCAACACCTTAGTATCAACACACACATTACACACCCGTCAGAGCTCTTTAGTTTGTTTGGTAGAAAAACGAGTCCATCATATTCATTTGACTTCAGCTGATCTTCACACTTTGTCCATTTCTGAATCCTACAGAACACATGGGAAATAAATAGTCCATAACTTAGACTACAACTCTATTACTATTACATCACCCATTCATATACAAGGAAATAAGAGGCCTGCAAACTCACGTGTCCTCCACGTGGCAGGCGTAAGGTGTGCTCCACAAGAACTCATAAGTACACAGGTTCTCATCATTTCTAAGTATAGAGAAGTGAACAAGACAAGGTAAGACCAGAGGTACAGGTACATATGTACATATCCACCCAGTGTGGTATAATATAAGCAGACCTGTCCAGTGTTAGGCCAGAGAGGCCACAACTCATGTCAATGGTGACATGAGAGGTCGCGTCTCTACACTTGTGTCTCCCGCTGAACTTGATCTGAATGTGATCATCAGCTGCAAAGAAATAGACGATAAAACATATCATGTGAAAATACTTCTATAGGAGTTCATTTAGGGTGGGTCTCCCCATTATCAACCCTCCACTCTCTTGTATTTGAAGTTATAACACAGAGTTTTATATCTCGTTTATACTTTTCCCCTCCTTGGATCAACTTGAACAAGCCCACAAAACATCCAAAAGCAAAACGTGGTGCTGCATACCTACTATAGAACAAATGCAACTAATTTTTGGTTAGCGCAAAAGTATAGTTAGAATCACGTAGAGCATTAGGGGATGTGCAGTGCTTGTCACAGATCAGTATAGAAAAAAAGCCTGCATCAAGACAAATACGACTAGACTCGCTTTGCTCGCCAATAAAGGACAGAGAGAAGTACAGTGAATGAAGTGAAGGGGGGAAAGGGGCAGTGGGAGATGTCTCACTAGTTCCAATAATCTCCTGAGTGGAGGTCATTCCAATATTCAACCATCCTCCCTTTGACGTGTGCAGACAGACTGCAGTCTCTGGGTCACAACCTGGGAGGAGGGAGAGAGAGAGATCGTGGTGTGTGTGTGTGTGTGTGTGTGTGTGTGTGTGTGTGTGTGTGTGTGTGTTGAGTATGGATGCTGGGGATGCTCACCAGTGAAATCTGGAATTGATCCGCACAAGTTGACATAGTACTCATCTCCGCTATATAGAAAACAGAGAGTAACTCATCATGCTCATATTAGCAAATGTGCTCTAGATTCCTGACAATATCTCCTCGTGTGTATGAACATAGCGGAACACTCAGAATATTTCTCTTCTCAGTTCACAACCTGTGTTCATCAAGCCTTCTTTCTAGTTTGTACAGCATGTACTATAGCTATTGCATTGGGTTAGCCTTAGTTGAGTAGGCTAGCAACAGAGATTGTACACACATGTGTATGTGTCTAAGGTTACCTGTGGTGTGTCCATTATGGCATACAATAGCAACTACACACATGTGTATGTGTCTAAGGTTACCTGTGGTGTGTCCATTATGGCATACAATAGCAACTACACACATGTGTATGTGTCTAAGGTTACCTGTGGTGTGTCCATTATGGCATACAATAGCAACTACACACATGTGTATGTGTCTAAGGTTACCTGTGGTGTGTCCATTATGGCATACCATAGCAACTACACACATGTGTATGTGTCTAAGGTTACCTGTGGTGTGTCCATTATGGCATACAATAGCAACTACACACATGTGTATGTGTCTAAGGTCTAAGGTTATGTTACTTGTGCTGTGTCTTCCAGGCCATCTCCCCAGGGTTAGCCTGGAGTGGAGTGAAGTCAAAGAACTTGTCCCCCGCAGTGTGAGTACAGCTGGTCCTCTCACTGTGACACGCATATGGACTGGACCAGAACAGCACCTTCGTACAGCCTCTTGACATGCTCTGCAGTCATCACACAACCAACAACATTCATAATTGTACATACATGTGCATAAGCCACGCTGAAGATTGAAACATGAAAACAAAAGCAGTTTTGATATGCTACTTCTTAGCATAAACACAGGGTTTTACCCACAGAGCACTTGAAGAAGACACAGGGTTTTACCCCACTCAGCAATTGAGGAAGGAGGGGGAGGGGGCTGACTGTGGTGTACTTGCTGCACATTCAAAAGACCATACTATGCACATTCCCCTAACTGCTTCACTACATTCCGTGCATGCTACTACATTACGCATACATTACCTGTTGGAAGACTGGCTTGCTGTCGTCAGTGGTGATGGATCGGTCACACTCCATGTAGATGTCTGTCTTGTATTTCGTCGTACCTGAGGTGCAGCGAAAAAATAGCAACTTTGCTTGGCCGATGTCCTTTGCTACGTATTATGTCAGTTGGTTAGTAACAGTAAACAAAATAATGTCTTTTGTTTTTTTGAAGAAAACCGTCCAGAAAACATAGGTACATTTAGGTTAATTCCATAGTCAGATGTTGGCCAGTGTCAGTTGAAACATACTAGTACCTCTATAGGTTTGCTGACACTTCTCACGATGAGGCTGGGTTCAGTTATATATACATCATCATGCCCCATTGCGTTGTGCCGCAAAGATGAAAGAGATTCTATCCTTGTAGCACGGCAACGCAGTAGTGCACTACAGGGCAATTTGACATTGTGAACCTAGCCTTAGTCAGCTAGCCTCCAGTATTCCCCAGCACTAACCCACAACCACCTCTTTGCTCACCTCTGCAGACATCTCCACTAGTGAAAGTGATGACTGGTCCACTGTTAGCAGAGAGCCTACAGAACTTCCCCCAGCTCTGGGGCTGGGCGGAGGAGGTGTGGCTGGCGAAGACCTTAGCCCCGCCCCACCTGCTACAGGCCTCACTGGGACACAGACACAGGCATGAAGTATCTGGAGTGGTGAGTCAGGTGCTGGGTCCTGCCAGGTGTCGCTGCGCCGTCTGTCGAGAAGACGAAGTGTCCCATCTCCCAGTCCAACCACTACATAGTGAGGCTCTAGAGGATGGACCACATGGACGTCACCGCACTGGGGAACCTGCACAGCATACTCTGAGGCCAGGGGAGTAGGAAAGGGGAGGGGGGCAGAAAAATTAAGACAGAAAGAGAGAAATATTAAGGTATGAGAGAGAGAGGAAAAAAGAAAGTATAGAGAAACAGAAAAACACGAAAAAGTAAGGGGAAAGGGAGATAAAAAGAAAGAGAGTAAGGGAAGAGAGGGAGGAAAGAGAGAGTATAAAAGAGCTACATTTGCAGAGTAGGCGGTGGGTAGAAAAACATAGAGTGAAGAATGTGAGAGATACAGTAACAGTGTGTGAATCCTTTGCAAGTGAAGAAATGAGGTTGCAAGGCAGATGCAAGGCACAGAATACATTAACAAAGAAGCTGACAGTGTACCAAGGTGACTCCACCTCCAATGATAGATACACACACACAATGTACATACATAGAAGTGAGAGCTTACTCGGTTGCAGTTGCCGTCACAGTGGCAGGAGCTGGAGGTCCGAAGGTCGTACAATCTGACCATTCCCAACTCCTCACATGTGAAGAACTCGTGAGGACAGCCTGGACTAGTGGCCACCTGTAGAGAACAGTTGGTAGTAGCCTTGTATATACCCAGCTCATCCATACGTGTATCACTAAGTACAGTAGTACGGGATGGGCATGGTACCCAGCATCATAGATGTATGGGGCTATGGGAGGTTTGTTCATCTTTATACCTTTACATCGCATGACGTTGCACATATGAGCAAGTAGACACATTTAGTCACACACAAAGTAGTCTCTTTCCCAGTCGATGTAGGTTTACATGGCATTACGTGATGTTACACATGGCGGACTGTTAGTGCGTGATTGCTGCACATGACGGACAGCTAAACCCAACTCCTCAAACTCAACATCATAGAACATATATGTCACATCGCAAGGAATAGAGCTAAAGAGGAGCTACATGATAAAGCATAGATTGATGTCGTAAGTTGCGTTTAAAGTTAACCTTATCCAGAGGTTTTTCAAGCACAACTTAGTAGGAGTACTCTTGACCCACGTTCTCATGAACCAGTACATGAGACTCGGCCATCACAGGGGCTCACCTGGTAGGTGATGGAGGACTGACACTTGAACTGGTGGGCCACATAGTCTCCGTACGGACTCAGCTCTGACACCTCCACTGAACCTATCCCTGCACACGACACTGCCTGCACAGACGTCATACAGTGACGTGTTTCAAACAGCAGAACTTTGTTCAAAAGAGAGTCACACACACACATTTTTTGTAGCAGAACATTCTCTTCTAACATGAACGACTTTAAAAGGCAATAGAAGCAAGCCCACAGAGTCATATGAATTGCACGAATTTTTCATTATTATGCATGATCACTGTTCAGTTAGTATAATGTTACGTAAATATAGGCACAAAACTGCTGAAATTTTGTTTGCCAGCCAAGAAAATGTGTCGTTATATAGTTACATACATACATACATCAAGCTACTGAAAAAGTGAAATTTGATGGTCCCCAAGAGTTCTTATTAACCAGCGAAAAATCGAAAAGTGAGCTAAAGTTTTGTTTAGAGCAGCGATCAATTGCTCGTCATTAATGCACTAAACCTGCTGACCTTACAGTCCCCAGTCTGTGGGAGGAACTTGGCACTGAAGATGTTGGACTGGTGACTTGTGTGAAATGAGTGACACGTCTACAGCAAAACCAATGGCACACAAAGTGGTCAGTGTTTGGCATTCTACACCTGAAAGCACTGAACTGCAAAACCCTCAGTATGAAAGGAACTGGCATACACATCTTTGTGGATAAGGTAAACGTATGTACATTAAGCAGGGAGTGGAACGGCAGTAATTATGAGGAGCTATAACTGTAAGATGAAACGTTAAAATCATTAACCTTACATCAAAAATCCTATTTACTTTACTTTTTGTGCAGAAACAAATGATGAAGAGCTAGAGAGGTACTACATGCACAAAAGCAAGTGGTATAATCATGTCCACCGTGGGTTGATTCATGTGACCAAGGGCTACGCATCCCTACATGCTTTAGGGTGTAAGATGACAGACTGTATGTACCAGTCCAGTGGCCATGTCATAGATATTGATGTGGCAGTCATCAGATCCTGATATCAGCCTGGTCCCAGTCTCATTCCAGGACACAGAGTTAACCTGGAACACGGACAAAACAGCTACATATACAGCTCACATACATCGTACCACATGTGCTAATGTGTTGCAATTAACAATAACACCTTTGTAGGAACGTTCTGTGCGTAATACTATTGAATGCTCTCTACAGATCACCACTATAGCGAACCGACAGCTCACATACCCGCACTGCAATTAAAAAGTTGTAGAAATGTTTGTCTTGTGTATGAATTTTCTGGAAAATTCTCTACAGATATGCCACTAAACTCACACATCCGTTATGTCCCTCCAGTACTCTAGTATTTGTCAGTCTCTTCACCAGATACAAGGAATCTGCAGAACAAAGGTGTACGTTCACCACTGCTCCACTGCTGAGCAGGAAGGTTGTGCAGCTATTGTATATACCTCTGACGGCTCTAGAGAAGACGTTACGTGGGAGAAGACCTTGCTGTCGCTGGCTTACAAACGAGTGGAGAGACTCCATCACTTCCTTTGCTTGTCCTAGCACAGTCTCCTCCGACACACGTTTTAGTTCAATATTTCTCGCGTCTCTTTCGCTCAATTGAGGTAAATATCTATACGGTAGCACTAAGTGCGCTTATTTTATAGGCGCGCTATGTTGGATCATGATGCATGATGCAGGTTGAAGTGTGCAAAGTGATTCCCTCCTGCTTTGAAGCTGAAACTAATGACGGCCCAGTCTCAGTTCTTGCCAATGGATCCTCCTTTCTGTTTTTCATCATATCTGAGAAAGTGGTAAAGTCTCATTTTTACAATGCAGCCGATTTGTTGATAGCTAACTGCCCTAACTGCATTTCAGGTCTCAGTGAAGTTTTACGACACTGCTGCTGTGCTTCATGTGAGCCCCCTACTTTGTTCAGGGTCCCAGCAGCCGCTAGCACTCTGCTGCCTCAGCAATGGGCACATTTCTGCCCTTTCCATAAAACTGTAAGCTACGTATGCAACTACTGCAAATTTCTTGCGAATGTTTCATCTGTATGTACCTCATCTTTACAGTGCGATTTCCAGGGTTCCAACAGAGGCTCAAAGTGCTGATATTCTCTCGTCCCTGTTTGGAGAGACTTGTGACAACATATCAGCTCCAGCACAAGCTGTTGATGGGCGCGATGTCTCAGTTAGTTTATTCCTTTTCCCTGTTTGTCAGTGGAGCATCTGTTCTGCCTTTGTCTGTAATGACAAGCTCATTGTCTCTGCAAGGAAGGAGCATTGCTCTGTTCTCAATGTCTATCAGTCTTCTTCCGTTACCCTGTTTGGTGAACATAAGCTTCCAGTGTTTTCCAATGGCGTACTCTTTCGACATGAGATAGGGTCTTGCAGTGTGCCTTCTAAGGGACTCTTATCTACAACTATAGCCTACAGGCCTGTTTTATCTCTTCTCCGCTCCCAGTCTTCTGTGAAGAGTGACAGTTCAACATTGAGTATTGCCTCGTCTGCCTCGGACGTTTTCTTCCGTCAGCTTTTTGGTTTCGAGTTGTCTCTAGCTCGGTCAATTGTCGCCGTCGTTGGGACCCAAAGTGGTGCAGTTTTATTTCTCGACACACGTGGTTATTGCACCCCTTCTTCTGCTGAATCAGGTGCCTCTTTATCCAATAATACCTTGTGTAACCTGGGCCAACCTGTAGTTGCCATTCACCCCCTGTGTTTGCCTACGCATCCTGAACATCAGCAAAGTGAAGACTCATCAGCCAATTCCTTGCTTGTTGTCGGGAGGTTAGGGAAGTTGGTGCTTTTGACTGAGGCAGAGAAAGGGAGAGAGGCTCCTTTGGTGGCCGAGTTCAGTGTTACCGGACCAATCCTCTCCTCTTTCCTTGTGGAACGGCATAGCTTTGTCTACAGTAACACGAGTGGAATATACCGCATTTGCCTCGAGCCTTCTTGCCTTTTAAAGTCAGTGGATTTAGATGCCAGTTCTACTACTTCTGTTGTGGTCCCTAGGTCACAGTTCAATTCTCCATGTCCTGTTTCTGCAACATGTATGTCATTTATCACAGGGGCCTCCCCACCATCTCTCATGAGGCTGCAGTGCTACACGCCATCAGTAGTGACGGCAAGCTGCTTAGGTTTCAGCTTGAGTCATGCAAAGACACGGTGAAGGTGATGAAAAGACTAGACATTGGTAGAGAGATGAGGGAGAACATGGACTCCATCAATAAGACTGGCCAAAGAAATCGCACGGCCCAAAGTCAACTGAAACTTGTCGACTCTGCACTGATGGAGTTAAATCAGGCTCTGTCAGTACTGCACTCAGTCCAGTCTTCCGATGGTCAAGTCTTCATCTGCACTGTGTCTCCAGTGACAGATAGGTGGCGTCTGCACTTAGCACTGGGTGGTGAGGTGGAACTCGGCTATACTGGCCTGGACAGGCTACAGAGAGGGTGGGCACTCTTGATAACTACCAGTGTACCTCTAGTATCAGAGCAGGTTTACTACTCTATCATTGGCTGGTATGGCACCCACGACATCCTAAAACACAGAGTCAAGTTGGATCTTGAAACTGGAATGCCAGCTACCTTTTCTGTCGACTGTCGCTGTTTGTTATAGCCAACTCACCTCCATTCGATACTAACCCAACTTAGTCTTTATAGCACCCCAGAAAATCAATCCTTCCGTCTGTTAGAGGCAAGTGGAGTTGCGTTCCCACTGGCTTATGCTGTCTTTGATGCTCTTGACTTCATCCCAACCATGTTCACCTAAACTCATACACCGCACGTTTGCTTCAAATGTACCCCACCACTCCTCAACAGGGCATTCCTTTGAAATGTTCTCCCAAACCCAAATCAAAGAACAGAGTGTCCTCAGACTCTGTCTTGCCTGTTCACAGCTGCAGAGGCGTTGTTTTTGATTTGCGCTTCTTCCACATAGCATCACTGAATCTCTTTCCACTGCAACAATGGACCGTTTCAAATACAGGCATGCACCTATGGCGGCTCAATTGTTTCATTGAGATCAATAGCACGGATGAAAGCTGTCTGTTGAAATTACGACACGGGATCTGTTAGAAGTATGGTAGAAATCATGAGTTTGATTTGCTGCAGATGCCAGGGTAGAGAAGTTTCCCGTTTCAGGCTGAAGTAGCAACTTCCTTACAGGTACGTATCTAGTGCTATACATGTGTATGTTTAGTTTCTTCATGATTTTTTCCTCCACTCTATGACAGGTGAAATCCAGGGAAATGGCAGCAATTGCAGGAAAACTATCAGATTTATTACTGTCATCTCCAGCTCCTGC